CAGTAAGCGCTTACCGTGGTAAGAGTCGTCGTCCTCACTTACCGGGTAAGACTCTTGGTCCTTGTCTCGCTCTTACTGGGTAAGATTTTTGGTCCATACATACGAACAAAGTATCGTAAAAGAGGTTACCTGGAGGTGGTCTATATCTTCTTCATGTTTAATGAGTGATTAATCTTTTCTTTACATATGAATGTTAATATTGTTTTGGCAAGTTACAACACCAAATATGTTCAACATGCAAATGTGGGAAACTTCAGGTCATGCTGCAAACTACAAGAAGAACATGTTTGCATTTGGTCTCCTGCTGTTAGTGATTTTACCATTGTTCATTCTTGTTATATATATAAAAAGTCTTGATATTGGTAAGCAGATGAACAAAATGGGTAAAATACTTCATTTAATGCAATTCTTTACATTCATGGTTTTGCTATATTTAAAAAAAAAAGGTTTAATGGCGGGGACCTCATGGCCCCGTGGTCCACATTTTGTGAACCCTACTTGCCATACCTCATAAGCAAGCACCGGAAAAGACAACCTGTCCTCCCCTGGTTTTGCTATATTTAGTGGTGCAAGCGAAAGAGATTTTAAATTAGAAAATTTTGAATAGGAATGCCTTATGTTGTAGGTGGTTTTTTAACTGGTGCTCTTTGACAGTTACTATCAATATGTAGGTTCCCATCTTTTGCAACCCAACATTGAATCTTGATAACCAATTTACAGGAAAAAGCTAAAAAGAACCCACACAAATGAATTAAATTGTCTCAGAAGAACTGCTTCCTGAAGTCCTCCCTTCAATTCAATAAAAACGCAACAAATTAACACAACTTAAATATTTGTGTAATAAAATTTAACAAAAAGGAAAATAAACAAGCTCTTACATGAAAACAAAGAAGGCAAGGGCAGGTCTCTTAAGCTTGTTCGGATCCTTAGCAATCTTACCCTTCGGCGCAACTTTCTTCACAGTGAACCTAATATCACACATGTAAGAAGCGAAACTATCATCAAATCGACAATTTAGGGGAAAACCTAATCACACATGTAAGAAGCTAAACTATCATCAAATCGACAATTTAGGGGAAAACCTAATCGATCAAACYATACTAAATCTATTGCATAAAAAATCCATCAAACACAATCAAAAACATACTTGCCATCAACTTTTTCCGTATCGCCCTTCGATTTTGCCCTTTCATGATTGAATCCTGAAAACATCAAACAAACAGATTAAAATCGGTAGGCAGATCGCGTAAATGCATCAGAATTAGAACGAGAGATTGCATAGAACAACAAAACAAAGCTTACTGAACGAACTGAGAGATTTAGGATTAGGGTTTGAAAAGAGATCAATGACACATCAAATCGGCAATTTGTGCAAAGGTAGAACCCTGTAATCAAGACCATGAAATCTCTAGGGTTTTGAAATGAAAATGGAGAAATCAAAACTTCAAATTTCAGGTTATAAGCACAGACGAGGTCGTCTTGGAGCGTAGAAATTGACACATCAAATCGGCAATTTGTGCAAAGGTAGCAGCAATGGAAGAAAGCGAGGTCTGATCCTTACTAAATTGGTTTTGGCGAAGGGAGACATGGAAAAGGAAGAAGAAGACTATGAATAGAAGAAAGAAAGGTAAGAACTTACCAAAATGGTTTTGTCGCACATGGGATTGCTGGAGAAGGTAACTATTGGAATTAAAATAATGCATCAATAACATGTACATTGTGCTTTATAATTTGTAATTAAGAGTTTTTTGAAATCTAAGCATAAAATGGTAATATTTTGTGTTTTGTGATTTGTAATTAAGATAATGACTTAAATGCTAATATATGTAGTATAGATTATATTTATCAACCTAATTTCACAAATTTCCTTATTGGTGATGTTGTGTTTTCATTTTTCTTTTATTACAACAATATACTTTCAAGTTGTTCTTATTATGACATTATCCTTTCATTTTTCTTTATTATAGTAATATATTTTCAAATTATTTTTTTATTTAGACACTGTATTTTCAATTTTTCTGATTATAACAATATACTTTTAAAATGTTTTTATTAAGACATTATTTTTTGAGAAATCTATCTATTATAACAATTAACAACATTTTGATTTGAATTAAGATAATATGACACAAGTTGCCAAACATTGATGACACATCATTCTGATTATGTGACGTAAATTTAAATAAAAACTTTCAATATTTTTTAAATTATATCATCACTTTCCCTCCGGATTATTCATCTCATCTAGATTATGTTTTATGTCTTTCATGAAAAATCTCTTATAAATATTTTTAATCTTATTAAATTGTATGGAAATTAAATATTTTAGTGTAACATATTTTTTAAACAAATGTGATTTTTTTTTTCAAAAAACACATAATTTTTAACATATTTTTAAAATGTTAACGATGTAAAATGTGTTTTACAAATTTTCAAAATATTGTTTTATTAATGAATAATTTAGTTTTTTTTAATAATTTCATCACATTCCCTCCCGTTTATTTATATCCTGACTATATTATGTTTTTTATCCCTCTTTGTAAAAAAAAATCTTTTAAAAATGTATGAATATCAGGAGGGAATGTGATAAAATTATTTAAAAGCAATTGATGGTTTTTTTATTTATGTCACGCAATCTGAATGACATATCATCCATGTTTCACGTGAACAATTACATGACATTGAAACTTTGTAACTCGTGTCATGTTATCTTAATTCAAATCAAAAAATTATTTTTGCTATAATGGATAATATAATACTTTAATAAAAAATAATTTGAAAGTATATTGCTATAATAAGAAAAATAAAGGTACAAAATTTAACAAAAAATAATTTGAAAGTATATTGCTATAATAAAGAAAAATGAAAAAATAAAAGTACAATTTCGTAATAAGAAAATTTGTGAAAGTAAGTTGATATATATAATATATACATACAATGTGTGTGTATGTGTGTGTGTGTATATATATATATATATATATAATATTAAGTATATATATATATATATATATATATATATGGTTATGTTACGTGAGACCATGTTGTTTTCGTGAGACTCGTGAAACCACTATTTTACACTTGAAAATTCACAGTAAAACACTGTGAAGGTAAAAAAAGTTCAAAACTTTCACAACAAAAACACTATGAAAGTTATCTTCACAGAGTTTTACTGTGAATTTTCAAGTGTAAAAAAGTAGTATCATGGTCTCATGAAAACAAGTTGGTCTCACATGATTTCGAGTCTCTCTCTCTCTCTCTCTCTTTATATATATATATATAATTACATGTTTGGTTCTTATACTTAAAATTATTGAAATGCCCTCTTAATTAACCTATTTAATAGAAAAAATCTAACAAAATTAAATTCAAGGACCCAACATGTTATATAATGCAAAACACAAAGATATAATTCATAGATATTTGAAAAGAGGGGATTAGAATATTAAAACACATAAAACAGAGAACGTATTTTACTCAAAAAATAATGGAAAAAAGGCTTATGATATAAAGGAAAAAAAAATAGAACTTTGTTTGGCAATGAGAGGCTAACACGTGGCATCTGCAATACTTTTGAAAAGTAGTATTTGGGCCCGGTGTAGGGTCGTTCCTTTTCCGTGAAAACCCATAACTAGTCGGACAGGGTACATGACTGTCCCATCGGGTTGGGTTTACATTTGGGTCCGGATTCTAGAATAGATGCCCATTATTTGTTAACTACTCCCCTTCAAATATATCAAAATTGTATTTCCATAGTTTTTAAAACAAAAAAATTCTAAAAAAATCCAATGAAATTTAGGGTTTATAATGATTAAGTATTTGGATAATTTTTTGGAACAAATAAATCATTGGACATTTCAAAACATGTTAAATAACTCATTCGACTTTTTAAAATCTGTTAGATACATCCTTATGACCTATATAACTGGTTAATATAGTAAAATAATGAAAAAAGTCTGAAAAAAAACCAATTAACATTCATATTTTAAACGATTAAGTTCCTAAACCTTTTTTGAACCAAAAGAGTACTTAGATTTATAAATTGAAACAAATATATCAAAAAAGTACTTACATTTAAAAAAAAATTGATAAAATTTATTATAATTATAAATTAAATATATTTTGTCAGTGATTTTTTAAACTAAAAAAAACAAATAAAGATTTAATATTACTGATTAAA